ACGTCATATGTAGGGAGAGAGATAAATAGTGCTCAACCCCTTTACAGAGTCGCGAACAATTGACATGAGTAAGAGGGTAGATAATACCAACAAAATTCTCGAAGAAAAAAGAGTCAGATCGTGAATAGCATCAACGAGGAAGATGGCAACCTGAGGCCAAAACACCTAACGCCTCCTTCGACAAAGCCAAATCGACCTATCCCAAAATGAAGTAAGCTGAAAGATAAGTTTGTCGAGCTAGAAGAGGTGGAAGGAATGAACTGAAGCCAAGCTAGCTCTATTAGGTGGAGATCATGAATCGCCGAATCACCTGAATTTGTTGTTTGGGTCTGTTATGGGGTTTTGACCCAAACAACAAATCTTCATGTGTGAAGCCAATAGACGTACAACATGAAGCACATGTGTTTACTTGAGAGGCTGGAATGTCAGAATCTTTCAATGCCTTAACAAGAGCATTTTTTACCTCTCGAGGAATCGACAACAAATCACTTATATTGAAAGATGACATACCTTCTAACTTTTTCATTGCTTCTGTTGAAATTGTAGAAGCGTTGTCATTGTCATTTACAGTGATAGTGTGACAGGCAACTATTTCAAAGATTTCCTCTTGATTATCATTAAAGAAACTCGCTGGAAAGAAATCTCCCAAAGTTATCATTTGTCGAGGTCGAGAAATATATTCGTCTCTTCCACGATCAGCTTAGGTTTCCTCAAACTTTTATTTCTCTTTTTCTTCTGAGTTTTGCTTCTTCTTTTGTGGTCTCGATATAGGCGAGACTCTTTCTTGACGCAATTTTGTTTTTGCTTCTCCCGACGAGTTACAAGAGTCCATTCTCCTTCTCCGTCCTCTATAAATTCATCTTTTTCTTGGGAGTTCTTCCTATGAGCCATATGTTGGGATGAAATGGTCATAGGTTTGAGGGTCCCAAATTGGATCCAAACCACTTCGTCGTCATGAAATGAGATTGTGGACTACTGGCTGCCAGAACTTGGGATTATCGCAGCATGATTTGTTTGGGCCACTTCATCAAGATCCAGCTCAATCTTCTTTTCTCGAGCGAGCTTCAAGATTCGTTCTTTCAAAACGAAGCATTTTTCTATTGGATGACTAACGACTCAATGATATACACAAAAGCTGGGATCATTTGTTTTTCCCATTTGTTCGGGTCGTTTGCATTCAGGAAGTTCTATGAGTCCCTTTTCCAGTAGTTGCTCTAACATATCTGCAAGGTCAGAATCTGGAAAAGGATAAAGCTTTTCTTGTCTTTCTTCCAGAGATGGGCGACGTCTTACATTTCCATCTTGTCGCTTTTCTATCTTCTTTTATTTTTCTTTTCCTTTCGAGGAAAATTTGAGAGGGGTCGTATTAACGACCATAGATTCCTTCGTAGAACCCTTGGAGATCTAATCTGTGCTCTTCATTTCCTTCTTCTCTTTCTTCACATCTGAGACTAGAGGCTCTTTATTACCTCTACTAGCAATACTTATCTCCATGACATGAGCACGAGTTGCTAGTTCTTCAAATGTGCGGGTTTTTATCCCCTGAAGGATATAAAGAAGTCCCCAATTCATGCCTTGAGTGCACATTTCCACAGCAGATACTTCCGTGAGTTTGTCCTTGCAGTCAAGACTTAAAGCTCTCCACCGGTTGATATATTCAACAACCGGTTCACCTTTTCTTTGTTTGCAACTGATGAGCTCCATCATACTGACGGTTCTCCTAGTGCTGTAAAAGCGATTCAAGAATTCTCTTTCAAGCTGTTTCCAACTCTTGATTGTTTCAGGTTCGAGATCAGTATACCAGTCAAAGGCATTTCCCTTCAATGTTCGAACGAACTGCTTGACCATTTGATCGCCTCTTGTGCCAGCATTCTCACAAGTTTCGGCGAAGTGAGCAATATGTTGCTTGGGATTGCCTTTCCATCGAAATGCTTGAACTTTGAAGGTTGGTATCCAGCAGGCATTCTTAGATGATTAATCCTTTTAGTATATGGTTTAGAATACAAAAGGGAGCTTTGAGAAGGTCCGCCGTATTGCGCTCTAATCGTGTTCGTGATCATATCTTGGAGCTGCTGAACAGACAGCGAAGCGATCGAAGTGGAATATTGCAATTGATTTTCTTGAGCGATAGTCTTTCCCTTGTCATTTATCTTGAGAGCAGGGGTTTGACTCGACTCAGCAACATCTTTATTTTCAATCTGATTCTTCAGGAAGCGATTTCATAGTCCCTTTCTTCCACCGTCTTCATCCGCGTAGCGAGTTTCCTTTCCATTTCAGCCATCCTTTCTTCCATGCTGCTTGCATCGACCATCATAACAGACATCACATCGATTTCTTGAATTTTCTCCAACTGAACAGAGGAAGAGCAGACTCGATGAACAAATGGTTCTCCTTGATAACAACCCCAACTTGAGTAGGTTTCTTCATCTGCTACAGTATTTTCTTAGCAACAGCCGGAGGTGTTTGATCTTCTCCTAACCGGATTTCTTTTGAACGATGATCGATCCTGTGTAAGAGGTGTTGCTTGAAGTAGAAGTACTTTTTCAGAAGTTTTCTTAGATGTCATTGTTTCTTCTTTCTTTTTCTTGAGAGAAGTTTGAGTTTTGAGAAAAAGAACCACGCCAAATCCAGTCAGAGGCTAGCAAAGGCCAAACTCGAATTGAGCAAAATGCACCTGCCATTTGTGCACGATAGTGCCAATTTCAATAAGTTCTAGTGTCCTTTTTGTCTCAATCCTACCGAGTTCCTATCAAATATATATTTTATAAACATTGCTATACCAACATGAACTTAGTTTAGAAATATAATTGACACATATTCCTTTCTTTGAGGTCGGAGGTTTAAATATCTATAGTCCAATTTCTTGAACTACATAAAGGGTAAATTACAACATACTTATCTAAGTCGAAATTGATTTTTTACCCCATTTTTTTACATAAATTTTAAATCTAATTAGACTCCATATCATTCTTAAATATTTTTTACCAGACTTAAAATAAATATGAAGAGTATAAAAAATAGTCATATCCATGTAGTATTAGAAAATTTCCCTTCAATTGCTTCAACTTTAATTTCAGACGGTCTCGCATATGTTCAAAGAAGTTAATTATATTTTGAAACGTCAACTTCAACATAATTTAATTTATTAACTATGTGCTGGACTCAATAAAAAAAAAATTAGATTTTTAATCTTGGACTTGGGTTGGGTTCCACAACTGAATATCATCTGTTGGGGTTAATTTTCCTAGACAATGTTAGTAATTAATTTGCGATGATGATAATATTTATACGAGGTCTCTATGGAATGACTTGGATGATTTAATAATTTTGAGGGTCTTGGATTCAAACTACATGGGACACGACTTCATGAGAACGATGCGCATAGATACAATATAAAAGATCGTTCACTCCCAAGTAATATGAGAAATTACGCTACAAAACTTAGATTTAATATGTATTTTTTATTTGAAAATAAATATTTGTTTTATGTTATTTATGCTATATGTATTTTAATTTCAGATACAAAATATTTCCTTTTTATTTTATATTTTTGTCGAAAATTGAATGTCAAATCTAAAAGTCCCATTGGGAGGAGAGAGAGAGGTCACATCATAGTTCCTTCACTACGAAGTAATATTAAAGTGTGTTAAAGTAATATGTTATTTTAACTTTTTAAGATAGCAAAATAATTCAACCATTTAAGATTTAACATCATATTATATTTTCGTTAATCTACTAATAGTCCAACAAACACAGAAGTCATTTAAAACTATTTCTAATCTTGAGGTACAGTTTATTTTAGCCTAGAAAAGAGTTCTTTTTTTTTTTTTTTTTTTTGAAGAACAGCCTAAAAAAAGGTTAAAATTGAACCTAGAGAATTTAAACCTAGAAATAATACATTACATATATGAAAAATTACAGTTTATTCTATCGGAAGGTTTAGATTCAATAATGACCACTAGGACCTTGTTTCATGTTCCATACCTCAATAACAATTTTAGCCAAGCCCATAAAACTGTTAAAGAAATACCCAAACTTAATAAAAAAATTAAAGGTAAATTACACTTTTTGGTATTTGAAGATTGATTTTTAGTTGGTATCTAAATTTTGTTAGTGTTACCGGCGGATTGCTGACGTGATCTGATATTGATGAATGAGAATATTTATTAATTTACATTACTTTTAGTTTAGATGAATTTTTTTGCCTTTTTTCCCTCTCCTTCCAAAAATTGTAGGGTGCGAGAGCAATGGATCTTTTGMTAAATTTTCTTGATGGGTTTGATTTTGTTGATGGCTGGTTTTGARGGTTCGGAGTAAGAATGGTAGAGAACATCTATTAGTGACAGATTTTTTTTAACTTACTTGGTTTTGGTGGCAGCAACTCTCCCATTTCATAGGCGCTCATGATTTTTAACGAAAGGATGCTCATCTGAGGCACAGTGGTGTGCCTTGCGTACGACGTTCTCACATGCAGGTGAGGACATTCCTCCCGTGTGGAGGTAGTACTGTCCCTAGACGGCTGCAATGCATCTCCCGTACCATCGCACTCCTCCGTGCGTATGTTCCTAACCGTCTATCATTTCCTATGCGTCGCTGTCGCCTCCCACAACCTGACACGCCAGAATTTGCTAAATTCGCCTGTGGGTGTTTCATTTGCCTCTCTTTCTCCTGCAGTTGTTCTGTTTGCAGATTAGAATATCAAATGAGATCATTTTCCATCTCTCTAATTACGTTCGTTTGTTCTATCTTAATACAGATTTCACTGGTTTCCCATTTGCAAGCTGCAGAACACTTCTCAGATACTTTCGTTATCACTTCAAACTAAATCAGTTCTCTAGGGGGCTCATCTAACATCAAAATGCCATCACCTTGGTTTTATTTAAGAGTCTTCTATGTTAGGTTCAGTAGTTTCTCAAGTCGATAAGAACTCGGAAGAAGCATTTTGACTCCAGAGACCTTACACAATCATTTTCTAAAGGTAGAGACCAATTAGAAATCCATACTTAAAACTCATTCATAAAAGTCTCATTTTACCCCAAAATTAAAGACAGCTTAACAATAGAAAACCGAAATTAACTTACACCCAGGAAATAACACTCGATAACCATTCATTTCTACAGCATATTAACAAAATAAAAACATAAACTGATTGAGGTTACAAGGATGCATACATATGAAGMATAATAAGCGAAGTAATAAACAGAGTTAACAGCCACACAGACGCGTAACCATATGCAATGTAGAGCCACTCCTGATATTGTATTCCGCTAGAGTTCTGCCATCCTCAAGCTGACGACCGCCATAAATCAGCCGCTGCTGATCTGGAGGATACCCTTCCATCGCTTCAATTTTAGCCTTCACCACGTCTATTGTGTTCGACGCTAAAATCTCAAAACAAAGTGTCTTCCCAGTCAGCATTTTCACATTAATCTGCATCTGCGTGTTCAATAGCACAATAAATATTTATTTCTAAAACATAATTAATCAAAATTATCGATGATGAAAACCTGGCCAGATCGAGGTAGATTCCTTAAGAGCCATCTTTTACGTAGCTTGCGATCCAATGCCATGAATATTTCGCCATTCTGTGGGTTTTGGAAGAAATCACAGGCGTCTAATATAAGGTCCTCGTCCATGTCTGGTAATGCTTGCACAGCTTTAATCACTGCTCCAATGGAGATTGAACCTGAGCTACCGTCTCTCTGCTTCATGGCTTCTTCTTCTTCGCGTCTTGACTTTTAGTTGAGATAAGAAAGAACTCAATGAAAGACACAGAGAGAGAGAGAAGGCCAATGGCCTTCTTCTTTGCTTCATATTTCAAAATTTTGAGAGCATTCAATTCAATCTTGTAATTTTAAGGATCGGCAATTTTCAATTTATACCACAATTTACAGCACTGAAATAAGTTCTTCATTTTCGGAAAAAAAAAACATAAATTATGGACGGTTTGGTATCGTTTTTTTGTTTCTTCATTATTAATAAAGAAAAAAACATGATCTCAATGTTTTGGAACAAATAAGTAATGGCCAGAAAAAAAGAAAATTTTGTTTGGGTTATTTTAAATAAATTCTATATAATTTTGAGAATATTCCTAAAACAACACCAACTTTACCAAACGAGCTTATACTCGTGGTATTATGCTATTTTGATTCCAAAATAATTAATATAGAGTAAGAAATAATAATGAATCTTAGCTCGATCCTAACTACCTATCCCACTTGCAAAAGTCAATATTATTACAGATCAATAACAGAATCTTATGCCGGATTTGAGAAATTAAAGGAAGTCAAACGATAGTACAAAGATTATATAGATCTTACAAAATCAGCACGATTCTGGAGATAGCCAAATCACCTCTCGGTGGTCAAGCTCGCGCGGCAGATCGGCGGGCGGCGGCAGCGTCTTCTCCGGCACGGATCCGAAACAACCCACGCGTCTTTTCTTCTCTCTGGCGTTGCACAAGTACCTAACAATCCGCCTCCCTCTTTGAAATCGCCGGGCAGAACACGAAGAAGATGAACTTTTGGAGTCTTCGTCAAGATGCTTATATAAAGAAGTAAAACTCAGACTCTTTCTTTCTCTTGTAGTCTTCTTTAAAGATGCTTGTAAGTAAAAAGTAAAGATGCTTATACGTGGGTATATTACGGTTGGTTTAATTGAACCAAACTTGGTTCACTTGGACCAACAAAACCAAAAATGATCTAACCAAATGGGCGAGACATAAAACTTGGCAAAAAAAAAAGTGACTTCAACCTTTGAAGTTTGTTGGAAGTTCTCTTCGTAAATAGAGACATTTTATCTCATTTCTAGGAACCTGAAACTATATTTTTTCGACGAATTAATAACTCGAGTGTAGCTATGAAGAGTCAGTTATAGCTTGAACCGAGTTCCATGGACTTGATCGAAGATATTTTAATAGTTATTTGATATCTGAATGTTGTTTAATTTATGGATTATTTTTAAATCATTTTTCTAATTTATTTTTAAATAGACATTTTATTAATCAATAACTTTCTGTTGAAACTAATAGCGGGGAAAAAGAAAACTTCCGCGTAGATTTACATTCTCCCATAAAAGTATATATACAACTACAAATATAGGAAAAGAGTTGAACTGAATAGTTAACTAAATAGTAACAGAAAATAGCAAATTAACCCCCATAATACTTGACTTAATACTCCCCTCGAAGTAGATGGTAAATATCTAAGACACCCATCTTGGATGATAAGGAGTCAAAAACAGTAGCAGAAAGGGGCTTTGTAAAGCAGTGAGCAAGCTGCAGATGTGAACGAACATGAAGTAAATTTCAAAAATCCATCAACAAGTTTATCACAAACAAAATGACAATATAATTCGATGTGTTTCGTAGCTAATGAAAAATTGGATTTGAGACAATATGCACAGTAGCTTCATTATAACAAAATAAAAGAGCTGGTGGGGAGAAAGAAATCTACAAATCAGTAAAAGGGAGAAAGCCATACCAATTCAAAAGCTGCTACCGCTAAAGCTCGACATTGTGCCTGTGCAAAAGAATGAGAGATAGTAGTTTGTTTCTTGGATTTCCAAGGAACCAAAGCATCGCCTAAAAAGACACAAAATTCAGTAGTGCCTTGACGAAGTGTCAAGACAAGAAGCCSATCCGAATCAGCAAAAGCTCTCAACTGAAATGAGGAAGCGGCTGGAAGAAAAATGTCTTGCCCAAGAGCATTCTTTTAAGTATCTCAAAAGATGATGAGCTGCAGTCAAATGGGACTTACAGGGCCAAGAGACAAATTGACTCAATTTATGGACAACAAATGTAATGTCTGGTTGAGAAATAGTCAAATATAGAAGATGACCAATAAGATGGCGATAAACAGAGGCGTCAGGAAGTAAATCAACATCAGAACATTGCAGTTTCAACAAAGGATCCATAGGCACACTAGGTGGTTTACAAGCCAAAAGACCGGAGTCCTCAAGAAGTTGTAAAGTATAATGCCTCTGAGAAATGCATATGCTAGACTTAGATTGAGCTACTTCAAAACCAAGAAAATATGTAAGAGAGCCCAAATTCTTATGTTTAAATTGAGAATGAAGGAGGGTCTTTAACTGCTCGATATCAGAAGAACATGCACCGATGATAACAATGTGATCAACTTATAAAAGCAGGACAATAAAATGAGAGCCAGAACCCTCACAAAAAAAGAGTAACCGGCCTTCGAGTGGTAGACATTTTCGAGATAGTAGCAAGGGATTTACGCCTGGAGTGTCAGGTCGAGGGAGTTTAAACCTAGATATCGAGGATCACAAAACTTTAGAGCGAATGTAAATTTCCCTCAACAGACTACGAGTGGCTCGAGTCAGTATAGAAGACCTTCTGGTAGTATGCAATCCGGGCAACAAGCGGAGTCTGCTTCTAGTTATACTAGATATCCTGTATGCAAGAATTGTGGTAAGTCGCACAGGGGTGAATGCCTCTAGAGGGCGAGCATTGTTTGTTATAACTGCGGGCAAGTAGGTCATATGAAAAGAGAATGTCCTTAGTTGTGGCAGGAAGGTAGTGCGTCCCAAGGAGCTTCCTCAAGACCGACGGTACAGGGACATTCAGATTCACAAKCAAAACCCGTGAGTGAGGGGCAACCAAGTACAGGAAATTCTAGTGGCGTTAAGTCGAAGGGTCAGGTAGGCAGACCACGTGGTCAGGGAAAGATATTTGCAATGACGCAGCATGAGGCTGAAGAACTGCCAAATGTAGTTACAGGTACGCTGAATATCTTCGATAAAAATGCTCATGTTTTATTCGATCCGGGTGCTACACATGCATTTATTTCTATCATGTTCTCTGTTGGGTTAGATAAAAAGTTAGAACCCTTACCTAGTGAATTGGTAATAGCTACACCGGGTGGTATATCTTTGATAGCAGACGGTGTGTATCGTGATTGCATAATTGATTTGGGTGATAGGCAGTTTAATGTGGATTTAGTCCCATTGAATATTCGTGAGTTTGATGTTATTTTGGGAATGGATTTCCTGTTCACACATCATGCATCGATTGACTGTTATCAGAAAGAGGTTATATTTAAACGGCCAGGGGAGGCTGAGATTATCTATAGAGGTGAAAGAAAAATTCGTCCCAGCATGTGTAATATCTGCAATGAAGGCTAGTAAATTGTTGAATAAATGGTGTACAGCATACTTAGCGTATGTTGTTGATCAGCGGATTGAAAAAGGGAAGCTTGAAGATATACCAGTTGTGCGAGAATTTCCAGACGTATTTCCAGATGATTTATCTGGGTTGCCACCTGATCGGGAGGTTGAGTTTGTGATTCATTTAATACCAGGCACTGCTCTGATATCTCAAGCACCATACAGAATGGCTCCTACAGAATTAAAAGAATTGAAGACACAGTTGYAGGAATTAGTTGACAAAGGTTACATTAGACCTAGTGTGTCACCGTGGGGTGCGCCAGTATTATTTGTGAAAAAGAAAGACGGTACTCTGAGGTTGTGTGTTGATTATAGACAACTGAATAAGGTAACGATACTAAACAKATATCCATTTCCTCGAATAGATGATTTGTTTGATCAGCTTAAAGGTACTGCAGTGTTCTCAAAAATTGATTTGTGATCCGGATATCATCAGTTAAAGGTAAGAGAAGCAGATGTGCCAAAAACTACATTTAGAACACGATATGGGCATTACGAGTTCCTAGTTATACCTTTCGGGTTGACTAACGCACCAGCATCATTTATGGATTTTATGAATAGAGTATTTCATCTGTACCTAGACCGATTTGTAATTGTGTTCATTGATGATATACTAGTGTTTTCCGGCAGCCAGAGCGAGCATGTAGAGCATCTTAGAACTGTGCTACAGACGTTACGTGATAGGAAGTTGTATGTAAAATTTAGCAAAAGTGAATTTTGGCTTGATCATGTGATGTTTTTGGGCCATGTTGTCTCTGCAGAAGGTATTTATGTTGATCCACAGAAAATTGAAGCAGTTGTGAAATGGGAACAGCCTACTACTGTTACAGAGGTTCGTAGTTTCCTCGGTTTGGCAGGATATTATCGTCGATTTGTTGAGGGATTTTCGAAGATAGCACTTCCTTTAACTAATTTGACTAGGAAGAATTCAAAATTTGTGTGGACAGAAAAGTGTGAGCAGAGCTTCTAAGAGTTGAAGAAGAGATTAGTTCTGCACCTATATTAGCACTTCCGACACCTGGAACAGAATTTGATGTTTATAGTGATGCTTCTCATCAGGGTCTAGGGTGTGTTTTGATGCAGAATGGGAAAGTAATAGCTTATGCGTCGAGACAGTTGGGAAATCATGAATGTAATTACCCGACCCACGATCTTGAATTGCTTGCTGTAGTTTTGGCATTGAAAGTTTGGCGACATTACTTGTTTAGAGAAAAATGTCATATTTATACAGATCACAAAAGTCTTAAATATATTTTTGATCAAAAAGAGTTGAATTTACGACAGAGAAGGTRGCTTGAGTTGATAAAAGAATACGATTGTACTATTGAGTATCATCCAAGAAAGGCTAATGTTGTAGCTGATGCTTTAAGCAGAAAACCTCGTGGTTCAGAAGATTCACCAAATGCAGTTAGTTTTTCAACATTGGGTGAGTTGGGCCGTTTGAATGCAAAAGTAGAAGTTAATGATCGAGGTGCCTTATTGGCTCATTTCCAGGTAAGGCCTACTTTGATTGATAGAATTGTAACAGCTYAGCTTGAAGATTCAGTACTGAGTAAGATAAAAGAAGAAGTAAAAARCAGTCAGCGAGTAGATTATACAGTGAGAGATGATGGAGCTCTAGTTAAATATGATCRATTGTGTGTTCCTAATAATTTGAACTTGAAAAATGAAATGTTAGAAGAAGCTCATAGTTCGATTTATGCTATGCATCCAGAAAGTACAAAAATGTATCGAGCGTTGAAAGAGCACTACTGGTGGCCAGGTATGAAGAGAGAAATAGCGGAATATGTATCTAGATGTTTGATTTGCCAGCAAGTGAAACCGATACGTCAGAACGTCGCAGGACCCTTGATTTCACTTCCTATTTCAGAATGGAAATGGGAGCATGTTACGATGGATTTTCTGTTTGGACTTCCTCGTACCTTGAGTGTTTATGATGGTATTTGAGTGATAGTAGACAGGTTAACTAAAACTGCTCGATTTTTACCAATTAAAATCAATTACACGCTTGATAAGCTAGCTAAGTTATATGTTGATGAGATAGTTAGCTCGTATGGGACTCCTGTATCTATTGTTTCAGATAGAGATACCAGATTTACTTCTAAGTTCTGGCCTAGTTTACAGCAAGCTTTAGGTACTAAATTATATTTTAGTACGGCTTTTCATCCTYAGACAGATGGCCAGTCAGAGAGAACGATCAAAACTCTAGAGGATATGTTACGAGCTTGTGTTTTACAGTTCAAGGGTAGTTGGGATACTCATTTGCCTCTCATGGAATTTGCTTATAATAATATTTATCGTTCTAGTATAGAGATGGCACCGTTTGAAGCATTGTATGGCAGAAAATGTCGAACACCAGTTTGTTGGGATGAAGTTGGAGAAAGAAAGTTATTGGGGCC